ATTCTTAAAAGTTTGAAATTGATATGCTTAATCTCAAAGATTATTTGAACAATTTTAAATCTGACATAATAAAAATAAAAAATCTTAAGATACATACTTCTTTATCAAGCAAAAAAGTGTTATAATTAATACTATCTATTTTTGTTATTAAAGTTTATAAGATCCTTTCTTTGATTAACAATTCATATTTTAAAGAGATTAATGGTTAATATATTGAATACATCAGTATATATTGCTCAAAATTATAATACTTGAATAATACTGAATTAATTGATGAAAATCCTGTAAAACAGTTAAGAAAATAATACAATTTGTAATAGATTAAGAGAATTTATGATAGATAAATTAAATCAATGAATTACTAAATATATACTTTGAATAATATTACATTTAGAGTATGTTTAAGAATACGATATTTATATAGATAAATTTAATCTTAATCCTGGTAATCAATTATAATAAGGCTAGAATATTTGCTTATGCTTTGAGTCAATTTTATTTGAGTAATATGAATAATAGATCTTAGTTGAATAATAGCATTTAGGCTTAATAATTGAGGTGCTTTAATGTAATTAAATAATAAAAATTTATGGACTCAATATTTTACTATAACAAATTTTAATAAATAATTTGATGAAGAAGAGTGATAGATTATGAGATGAGATATTAAAAATAGGCATTCTTAGAATATGAAAAACCGTTAAATTACATCCTAGAGATCCTAAAATTTATCATAACAGCAGTTATGAAAAACTTATATAGAAAGAAACTATACTTTTTTATCCAATTGTTGTTTTAAATAAAACACTGATTGGATTGGACCCAAAGAATGGTTTCACCTTTATTAATCGAGGTAACAGCATATATATATATATGTAGAAATCTTATATGATGTAATTGGGAATAAAGAATAAAGCGCCATATATATTTTAACAATGCGATTTCCTTGAATCCAGAATAAGCATTCAAAGATTTTATCATACCCATTTCAATAAGTTAATTCTTATGATAATCAAAATATTCTAACCTGATTAGGAGTCTCTTTAATAATAATGAGAATTAATACAAATCTATTTGGAATCTTGACAAAAGCTAATTTCAAAAGGATCAGAGGAGAGGGTAAGTGAGAAAAAGTCGAGACGTCTATGCGATATCAAAACTTCATAACTAATAGCAAAATTAGATGGATATAGTGGTGCTGTCTATAGCGAGAAAGTACTTTATCATCTGGTAGGGATAATATATATATCCATTTATGGAATGTTAAGGCATGAGTAGTATCCTGAATAAAAATAACTAATCTGTTCATCTAATTTAGATTTTTGTTTTTGACTGATGGTACAATATAATCATCTGGTTGTTGGAGATAAGTATATTCTGTTATGCTACGCCAAGACAGAAAACCTTAGAGAATGTGGTATTCATAAATAAAGTTACCATTATAATAATATTCCAATAATTAATTTTATACATTAAGGGCTTATATGGATTTAATTTTCATATTTTAAAGATTGATATTTATATATATAAAATCAATAATCCCATTATTTTTCATCAATTTAGAAAAGTTTTATAGTATTTAAAAATTGACACTATTTCATAAATAACAGATAACTGGATTATAATTTAGCTAGCAAATATTATGAATAATATTCAGTATCTTTAAAAATGGTAATAATATGATATAAAAATTCCATTAAATAAAGAGGATCCTCTATATAAGTGATGATAAGCCCTAAGTGTAATTTGAGGGCTAAGTAAATCATAAGTTTTACCAAATTTCAAAAGTTGCCTTGCTAAGTTAAAATTTAATACCTATTATTCTCACTACTGCATGAACCTTACTATTTTATATCTTAAATTAGCTTTATCTTTTTAAATAAAATAATAAAACTGGCATCTGTCTATTCAGTTTGCAACAAAAATTACAATCTGATTGAGTAATGCTAAAACTTAAGAGTTAAGTTCAAATTTAACTATATTTTTAACTTGTGTGGTGTAAAGAATTTTAGTATAAACTTGTTTACCTTGAGAACTTTTTCTCAGAAGGAAATTGCACTTCCTCTGTGTTCAGGGAGAATAGTTATTGGATGCCAACACTTAGTAAGAAAAGCATACTTTGAAATAATCTTAAACTTACTATCTATAACTTATTGCTCTTTCATTAACTATAATCTAATTTTCTCATTAAACTATCAAAGATGATCATTTCACAAATTGCATGGCCACATTAAGTAATTTAAAGAGATTTCCAGATAATTGAAAAAATTGAATCATCAATCAAATTTAGGTCTTGAAGGTTATTTTAATTTGGTTTCTAAAAGAAAATAACTGAATGGATTTATACTTTTTTTCTTTAATTATAATATAAATTCAAGTTTTTCTATTTCGCATTTTTTTCAAAGGTATCTTCCAAAATTTCTTTATTGATAGATTATAAATCTGATGCTTATTAAAAATATTTTTGATGTGTAAATCATAAAAACTCTTAGAAAAATTAAATAATTTAATTAATAATGAAATTATAAATTGGCTTTATAAAATGACAGTAATAAATTTATGTTTTCATACATTATTAAAATACAAAGAGTATATGAATTCTAACTTCTTTATGGCAATTTTTAATTAAAATATAAATATCTCGCTTCTTTATTT